ATGTACTCAGAGGATAAGCAAACAACGACATGCAGACTTCTTAGGAGCTGGAAAGGATTTTGTGGATCTTGCATCAACCTCCAAGGCCAACAGGTCAGAGAATTTTTGATTAAGTATGGCTCATCTAATCCTTTGAGCACCTCATTGCAGTGCTTGCATATCTATGAAAACATTACAAAGCAAATAAATACATTAAATACTTTCCTTCTGGTACTCATATCTGAGAATATGAAGAAAATTTCTCAACAGTGGGGAACATTTCCATAGGATAAGGGCATGATAAAGTTATGTCATCACTATTCACTGCTAGTGTAACTCAAGTTCTGAAACATGGACATTTTCTTTAATTTTAATTTAAGACGTAGCTTTCATACTTACATGTTAGAAAAGCATTATTGACTCCTCAGTTAGGTTTTCTATGGATTAACGGGCATTTTGCCAGTGAGTTTAGCTCATGTATAGTCAAGTCATACTGATATCCCCATAGCCAGATTCATGGCTGAATTTTTAAAATGTAGTTTCATTTGGTACCCTAGTTTTTATTAAATCTCTTCTACTTTAACTATCACTGCAATTATGGATTTCCTAAAAATAGCTTATGAACTATATATATCAGTCTTTGCTGAGTCAGCAAAACTAGTGGAAGACTCTCAGCCCAAGAAAATTACACACAGTAGACAGTAAAGGATAAATAATTTTTTATTTTTTATTTTAACTAACACAAACCTATTCTTTGGCATTTTTTTTCTTCCTTTCATTGCACAGAGGAAAAAGCATCCTGTTTTAAATAAGTAGTTGTTATTCCTGCTTAACATAGCACCCTACAGTTATTCATACTGTGTTTATTCCCATATAATCATTAATATGATGTAAGGGCTCAGCAAGATTCTTCTCGTTATCCTTTCCAAATGAGAGCAAAATGAACTAGCAGTGAGCTACCAAGAGCTAAAGAAGTGTGTGGGAGAACACTATGATGCAAAAGGTTAAGGATCTGTCCTGCTGACCCTCTGGGGATGCATATGACAATTTTCCAGTGAGTATGCACCAAGTGGGGTGCTGAGTGATACGTAGCATTTCCATGTTGGAAACTTTCCTGGAATAAAAGCCTGACATGAGTTGATGGAAAAAGTCAGAGCTCCTCATAGCAGCAACAAATGGCTTTATTATCCAAAGGCTAACTTCATACTAGAAGTAAATCTGCCTGGCTTCACTGAAAATATCTTCTCTTTATGCCCAAGATTGTTGATTTTAATTTAAATATTAAAGTACATTGAGAGCTTTAGGTGAGCTTCTTGGCAGACAACAAAAATCAACAGAATTCTCTTTTTTCTATTTAAACAGAAAGGCAAAAAATTGACCATAATGCTTTGTCTCAAATGGGAATGTTTCATTGTGGCTTTGAGTTTTAAAATCTCCAAAACATTAGCAAATTTTATGAAGGCAACACTCATAATCTGGCATGCTTGTTTCACAGAACGTCAAAAGCCAGCAGTAGTGTTTTTACAAATATTTTCTTCTAAATTATCTGGCTTAAACTGATATGAATTCATAAATGAGCTACAGATATCCATTTTTTAAAAATAAATATTGTTTTTCTTTTGCCTATCTCCAGAAAAGTGTAAGAAACACCAACATTGCTAAAAAAAAAAAAGAGCTACAAAAATAGGAATTTATGTATGTGTAGACAGCACAGTTCAAGGAACACTAAACAGCTATAAATGATTTTTTATTTTATTTTATTTTTGTCCATATGCTCACTTCTGCTACAAGCTATTCTACATAATACTTCTCTTTTATCCGGAGGTTTGAGACTTACTGCAAATGGTGAAGACTGGTCCATGATTTGAAATACTGCATTATCCCAGAGACACCTAGGTATGAGGCTTAGGTAAAGGCAAGGAAATGTAGGTAAGAGCTATATATAAAGGACATGCATCTACAGCCCATCATGGCCTTTGCATCATAAATATACTTAGTCCTCTGCATGTCCACCTGGGACAAGAATTGGGAAATGTGCATGTTGTAGATCTTGCCACCATGATTCTGATTTGAAAGCTGATAAAAGGGCACTGCTGATAGCAGTGAGTGTAGTTTCAGAAAAAATAATCAAGCTGATCAGAAGTCCAAAGCACTCTTCCAGGTATTGGGGAAAGGCCATTGGGCCAAACTGGAATTCTTGTAACAAAACTGCTACTAACTGGAACTGCCTGCATTCTCAGATGAAACCACGGACTTCCTGAAAAAGTGTCTCTGAAAGTAAAGAGATGTAGGTCAAGGTGGCTTCAGGTCCTAGGGACATCCCAAGCACGAGAAGATCACAGTTTTCTCAGAAACCTCTGAATCAAGTCAGTATTTTTTCTAAACTTGTACTTTCCTCAGCAAAGCTGCTTTATCTGGCTATAGTAACTTCTTGAAATCCAATGTGAATTTAGATCATGGTCATAGTATTCTAACATAAGGTGAAGATATGACATTTATGCTAATACATAAGTTAGGACAACCCAATTATTTTTTCTTTGCTAAATTTAATATTTAAATACTTACAATTGAACCTGAAAAATTAGAGTTGATGGTGTACCACAGGACATTATTTGCATTTTAGTGACCAAGTATGTTCTCATGGCAAAAGAGAAGTACAAATAGTTCAATGTAGGTTTTATCAGTTTTAATTCTTTGTTCTAGTTGCAGACATTGGGAATAATCTCAGACTATCACATTATTGAAATGTCATTTTTTTTGTATGGAGCACTAAGGGAGCACTGGTGGTACCCGGGAACTGGTGCAAGTCCCAAGAACAGAGCTCAGTTTGGACAGGAGAAGAAAAAGGCTAGTGGGAGGCCAGAAGAGCCTGCTTTTTTAGCAATATAGGTGCTGTTGCTTGTATACATATGTACATATTTATGTCGGAATAAATACTGGGAATAAAGGAGACACAATTACACAAAAAAAGTTGTTGCAAAGAGAAGTAAGCATAAACCATCTGTTAATAAATCCAGGCTGGAAGAAAGCTCACAAAGCCCTTTGTTTCGATCTGCTGAGTCTGATGATTCACAGCTTGCAGCAGCTCCAGGCAGAGGCTGAAAGGACCATGACAGCTCACCCCGGCTTCACGGGCACTCGGGGCACAGTGGCCACCTCAGTTTCCAGGCTCCCATTTCTTCTGCATAAGAAACACACCTTTAAACTAGGATTTTTTTCTGCTCTTCTATAAAGCCTGGCTAAACAGACCAAAATCGCCACCTAGTGAGGTCAGTGTCTCAGCTCACTCATTTCAGACAGTTTGCTGTAAATACAATTGAGACAACTGTCTCCATGGAACATCTAGCTGCATTTCTTTGAGTGAAAATGGTACATGACACTTTGCAAGAAGAAAGCAAGCATTTAAGAAAAACTGAATTTGCTGAGGTGACAGGAAAGCAGGTATTATCCAGAAAATAGTATGTATCCAAGCACAGGGATTCCTACCACCTCTCACTGCAATCGTTAAGGTGCTTACTTTAATGTCTTCGGAGTGTATTTACAGGGGTCTTGAGGGAAAGGTGAGACTTAATATCTGCACTGGGTGTCTTATGTGGCCTGCACAGGTAAGTGCTTCAAAGGGCATCTGAGTTCTTGGTCCTGGTTTCTCTGAATGAATTGCTAAAAATAAATGAACCACATAATTGGCTAAAACCTGAAAAAGTACCCAGAAGTGGTTTCACTTGTAATATGTCTGTAATGAATTAAAATGAATGCGCAAAAAAGAAAAGATGAACCTACATATACCAAGTTAGGATTTTTTTTGCAAAGGCTTCCAGTTAAATAAATTTTGCAGGCTCTTCTTGGCTTGAGTGATTGAACAGGAACTTGTAGTCTGCAAAACTTTTCATAGCTACCAAACAATTATTGAAGTTTATACTCTTCTAGTATTTCTACTCTGACACCCTTAGTGGGTTGCTTCCTGTTACAGTGAAAAATAAACTGAATATTAAGCTTAAAAAAAAATGCACAGCATATCACTGTTAAGGTTTTATTTTTAAATAATGACATTTAAAACATACTATATTTTGATCCTTTTTTCTCCCTCCTACATTTAAGCATTTAAAATTCATATTGTCAAGACTCTGTGCAGTGGTAAACGAAACACAAATAAAGGTAAGGGAAGACACATAAGAAACTCCAGACACAAGAGCTGTGACCTTCAAGTAACCACATAAAAAAGTTCTGAAGAAATCATAAGTATAAATAACAGAGGAACAGGAAGAATCAGTTTGTTGTTTGTTTTTTTTTTCTCAAGTACAGTTATTTCCCTTGGCAGAGGTGGGGTTGTGGTGCTTAATGTTGATTCATATTTTCAGACCTTTTTGAAACTGCATATGCCAGGCTTATCTAAAGTAAATTTTTAAATCTACTAGTGAGGTAATAAGGATAAAACACCCCAAAACTTCAGGGCTGAGTATTTCCTTACTAAAAGGAGCTGATTTTAAACTGCTAAATACTACTGCCTACATGTATTTCCTGCTTTTCACAAAAAAAAATCATCATCCTCTAAGTGTGAACACTAGACTTATCGATGAAATGTGCTACTCAAACAGAACATGGGGAACTACAACAGCTGCAAATGTTGATGTGAGGTTAAATGTTGAGTCACTGCTAATGCCTTCAGAATCCATTGCAGTACCTTACTACTTCTGCTATATTATGAGGTCTCATAGTGATATGTGGACTGGGTTGAGACACTGCATTGTGCACCATCAGCCATACAAATGGGGAAGGAAGATTGGTACTGATCACGTCAAAACAGCTGTCCAAGAAATTACATCCTGTATTTCACATGTTTCTGGCACTAACTCTGCAACAAATGTGAATGCAGTATTGTTCCACTGTAGGTTCTTAGGCTGGTTATGCTACACAGCACCTGCAGTAGGTTCGCATATGCTGACTGCGCTGCCAGTGACACGTGCTCATTCTCTGCGTGCCAGGAAAGAGAGCTCACTTCTGCCTGAACAGGATTGCATACTTCAAACTTTTCTGGGTTTTTTTGCTGTGCTGCATTCTGAGGAACAGAAACTTTAGTTTACTGAGGAATATTTATTGTGTTGCACTCCATGAGGATAAGAAAAGAAGATGGGTGAAGCCATGTGTTTATTCCCTCTTCTGAGAACACAATGAATCTCAGGAATTGCTTCATAGATATTTGGCATAGTTAGATTTCCTCCTCTCATCTATGAATTAGGGCTTTTAACCTTCCTTCTTATTAAGGAGTCTCTGAGTCTCCTAAGGTGAAAAGATACCTCAGAAGATGAGTTGCCATAAGCCAGCCCTTTTGCGAGACTCCAGAGATACCATATGTGAGATCTGGTGCCTCCAACTATGATACTAGTAGAAAGAGTGGGGTCTCAAGAGAAGGAGAGGAAAACAGCAGGTAAGAGCTGTGTCCTGAGGCCATTGGCTCTGCACTCTCAAAAGTAATTTGTTGTGTGTCTGGATGGACTGCAGAAAGCTGGAGAGCAGGAGACTGTAAAAACTGTGGAGCCAGGAGGGTGACTTGATGTGGGTGCTGAACTGCTTTGGCTCAGTTTTTCACCTACAACGGGAAAAGGACAATGTATGGACCTCTCCTTTATAGTGTAGCTTTCTGGATTTAGTACTTGCCACATCTGCTAAGGTACCAGCTAGCAGATGGATGAAACTGAGGAGACAATTTTTTCCAGTGGCTTAATATATTCTTGAGTCAGGGCTGGGTTTGAGACACAAACTTTGTGCTAAAATGCTAGAAATTTGAAACAAAATTGTTCCTGGGTGAAGTTCTTCATACAGGGTTGGAAAAGCTTTTATACAGCAAGAAATGACAGGTAAGGTCAAGGTTCTACAAGGAATATAGCACAAATTTGGGGATATTAGGACCTGCTCTTGGGAAAAGCTTGTGAAAATTGTTGCTTAAGATAAATGAAGTTCAGTATCTCACCTGAAAGGCAACGTGCCACATCTAGGTGATCTGATAAGCCATAGAGAAAACCTTGATAAGTCATGTGCTGCACACCTATCTTAATTATGTTACTTAGTATGTAATGAAGATAAAACTAAACATGATGTTTATATATCTATTTATATATGATTTGACACCTGTAGAGTGTCTGGGTGTGCTTTTACCCAATTTGTCACCACCTCAATGGGTAATCCAGCAACAGATTTTGACTTTATTAGGAAAACAAAACAATGGGGAAAAAAAATAATATATTTTGTCCTTGGTATTGAATCTTTAAGCAAGTAATTTCTGTGGCAATATTACTTCTCAAAATACTAAATTTAAAGTAACAGATCCTAAGAACTACCTCAGCTCTTTCTTTTTTTTTTAATTTTTTCTCACACTCCATTTGAAAAAGCTGGGAGCCTGTACTCCAGTTACCAAAATTCTAAAAAATAATTTATTTATTTTTTTCCAGATGTTTCACACCTCCCACTATGACGTGCATTCCCATTAAATGTTAGTGATGTAATTAGTATATATATGTGCACTCTGATGTTTAATGAGAGATGCTATGGGTCACACATTCCAGCAAAGCTGTGCTCAGGCTGGATGGAGGCTGTAGGTGATACATGCTGCTGACAGTGCCTCTGGGCCAGCACAGATGACGATCTATTCCTTGGGCAGTGTCATTGTCATCCAACTGGATCAGGCATTTAATGTGTAATTTCATATGGTCTTTGCTTTACTGTTTCCTGCTTGTTTTTTGTGTGTGTTGTTGAGTTTTTGTTGTTGATTTGGTTTTGTTTGTTGTGTTTTGTTTGGGTTTTGTTGTTTGTTTGTTTGTCTGTCTTTGTGTTTTTTTTTTTCTGCAAGCCCCAGTCCAGATCAGACTAATAATGTCTTTCTATGGTATTACAAGATTAGGTGAAATAGCTTGGTAACTTTTAATTCCTAGCTAAGCAGCCAAAGCCTCCCTGTGTCAGCTTAGGCTAGCTATTTCTAGTAACACAGCCTTTGTGGTGCAGCAGTGCCCCACATCAGATGTCACTGATGCATCACTATCAGATGTCACCTTGGATCAGTGCTGTCAGAGGCAGCAGAGCAGGCAGCCTTGAGCAGGGCTGAGCTGCTGCCTCACAGGGCTCTGGGACCACAACGAGCTGCTGTCTCACGCAGAAGGAAAACCCTGGCAATTGGCAGCACAAGCCGGTGGGTT